TTTTTTAAAAAAAACGGGGGGGGGGGGGGGGTGGAGTTAGTGCACATGTGCGGCACTGCCACCTCAGCTGCCATCTCCCTTGGGCGTCCGCCGCACTGCACGGCCATGCTCTCCGACCTACAGCTTCCAAAGGCCTTTTTGTCTGGTTACCTAGTTCATAGACCTGCATGTGAGGAGTCTGGAGACCCAGCCTGGCATGTGAAGGGTTTATAAACCCAGTCTGAACAGGCTTGAGGTGTCTATGAGCTCTAGACCCAGCCCTAGCTCAACAATTGGTCCAGTCGGCAGGATTACAGGCAGGTAAAAAAGCCCAACGAACAAACACTCTAATACAGGCACATTTTCTCAAGTATTTTATCATACTTTGGATGGACATATAAAAGCTTCTACTAATTTCAGCTCATTTTTCTAAAAGAAAATTTTCAGAACTCTTTTAAAGTGAGACACTTATATTCAGGGTTATTAATTATATCAAAAATACCATGAAAGTACCAGACAGAAATTAAGATTTCATGAGCTTATTCACATCACATAATTTAACATACTTTAATGTCAAGTAATATGTTTGCCTCCAGATAGATAACTAGTACATGTAGAAAATGGTCATGAAAAGATTCAACACTCAATCAATTACACAAGTAAAAAAAGATAATATAGGCATAAACTATAATATAATGCTACTGCCTAGACTACACCATAAAAAATATGGCAAGGACACAAAGCTGTCCTGTAGTAAAAGGAGCAGGATAAGATTACAGGTAAGCACAGAACCAGGCTAAGTGAATATGAACATTCTCTGAGCTCTAAACTTTGGGCCCTTCTCATAACATTTTCAGGAGGGAAATGTGTGAAGGAGGGAAATATACGTAAAACATTTTAAAACAGCAAGAAAAAAAGCGACAAAATTCTAAATACACATAAGACAAGTACCTTCATCTATATCTCTCTATATATTTACCTACCCCCAAAGAAGAAAAAACTTCTGAATTTTTACTAACACAATACTACAAATGTTCCATACTTCAGATATATCAGGGTAGTGATTTATAAGAGATTTCTTAAAAGCAGTTCAGACTCTTTTCCTAAAACTCCAGGAGCACGAAGCTCTGACACATAACTAAATGAAAGTAAAAAAAAAAAACAACTAGTCTTCTTTTGAGCACTTACTATGTGCAAGAAACTATAACAAACAATTTAACTCAGACTTCACACCAGCTCTGAAGGGGGATGTATCTCCAAATTTTGGAAGAAAAAAATAAGACTCATTTTAAGTAACTTGATAAAGTGGACCACAATAGAGCACGATTTAAACACAGATCTGTTTCACTACAAAGTCCAAACCCTGCCAATGTCTGCCAAAGCACTTAACACCTTACTCTATACTGGTTCCTTGCAACACACTATTTATTCCTAACAACCACACTCTTTAAGTGAAAAGAACCTGAAATTCAGAGAGTAAGATTCCATCAAAATTCACGTAGTTCACCCAGCATTTTAATTCAAGTCTGACTCAAAAGCCATTGATCCCTCTCTGAGATGATAGCATATCTCAAAAATAAAACCTGACTATTAAAGCGTAAATAGTAAAAACAAATGACATATGGTATAAAGTTATTTTAATATATGCACAGTGCTTATTTCTGAAAAGTTGATGCAGGATATATTTGCCTATACCACAGTGATGTAACTGCACTGTGTGCATCTCATACACATTAACATGTCTTTTTTTTTTGGCAGCTAGCTGGTACAGGGACCGAACCCGGGACCTTAGGGCATGATGCTGATAACACTAATCAACTGATGTTAGTCTGAATTAACGTCTAATATTTTTAGTTTCTAAAAATTAATATATTCTACATTTACTATATCTATGTCATTATTTCTTGAAAGGTTACAAGTGATTTAGAGCACAAATTCTTCTGTCAAAGAAAAATGGGTATTCTAGAACTGTCTTTGCCTCTTAAAAACTGAATGTCCCTAAACAAGTTATTTAATCTCCCTAAATCTCAGTTTTCTTATCTACAAAGTAAAGATGGCAATAATATTTTCCTCATAAGACTGTTATATGAATTAAATGAGATAACTTAGTGTAGGGGCCAACATAATCATTCCACTAAATATTAGCTGCTATTCAAATTAGAAAATTATGACTATTCTAAGACAGAGCAAACGAGAATCTAGACTGCAAGTATCACAGCAAGACTAAAGGTCAAAAATCAGCAGCAGTCATTTGGCATTCCATGGGCCAATGATCAGAATGACACCAGCCTTCCAGTATTTCTGGTCAGCCCTAAGGCTTTCTGGAATTGAGCAAAATTTCTTTTTATACAGCACAATGGAAACAATTCCCACAATTGTTACTTTGAACAGGAAACAGCAGCATATCTTCTTGCACAAGTTAATTTATGAACTGCCAAAACTTGTTCGGAAAATTGGAGGAAAGGGTGGCAGCAGTTAGAAGAACTAAGCAAAGCAATAATCAAAGTTTTAAAAATATATCTGATAATAGTCAAATATCACATCTTTACCTAAATCCCTTAAAAGTAGGAAAGTTCTAATAATTTTTCTTCTTTAAAATCAAAATAAAAACAAAAAAGTCATCTTCAAGTGTAGAAATAGGAAAGTAAAATACTCCTAAGACTCCCATTCTGTTTGAATTTTATCTCTTCAAAGGCTAAGATTTCTTCACTGATTATCAACATTTAACACAATGGAATGCATGCTTTTTCCTAAAGACAAGGTTTCTTTTCTGATGAGACCACTTATAATGTTTGGTACTTTCTGAAGACTTGATTTCTTCAACTAAAATAATTGAATTATGAGAATTCAAAGCAAACTAATAATATACTAAGTACTCGCAATGTATGATTCACTATTCACCTCTACTAATCTATATAGTAAACAGAGAATACATGTTATTCCCTTTGAGGAATTTCTTATAAAATGTTAAGGATGATAAAGAAAAAAATATGTATTAATGCTGTTTTGGACTAACTTTGATTCCTTACCTAGGAACTAGGTATTCCCTCATCATCTCCTTACAAAATCTATTTCCTCCATATTCCTGTCTCCTCCTACAGCCAATTAAATCAGCTTGAAGAATACACTGAATAACTATAGCCTTACCTAGTTTAGTAGAATTCATAATATCTACTCGTTTAAGGTAAAAGATGGTTTAAAAGAGAATACCTGCTGTACCGTACATTTTCATTTAAAACAGGGAAGCTTAAATTATACTGATTGTAGTCAAACTATTCTGTACCCTAAAATGATCAACTACTCTCTCTAAGGTCCAAAGATAGTTTCTCTGTTCTGACAGTCAACAAGGACATGAGAATGTGCTTCAGTGAGCCTGAGGAGCCTTCTCCATTCTTTCCAAAGGTAGTGGGCCTTTAAACTGTTAGCTTTGATTTGGAGAAGTACAGATTTTCCTTTTCAATCAAAGCTGTCATAAATAAAACAACCAGTGGTTAAGATAGTTTCAGTATGGTCTACTACAGAGTAATAAGCCCACAGAAGCAAACAAAAACAACTTTGCAACAAATGTGCCAAAAAATACTTCTTAAGTATGAACAGTATTTATACAATATTACTCTTAATAGAACTTATCAAACATGAGAAGAGTGCTAGTTCTCAAACCATCATCATAAAATCTCTTTTGCTCTGCATAACAAAGGAACAAGTGTCCTTTGGAAGGGTAATAGTATCTTTACCACATAAATAAAGAAGAGGAAACTCTAAAGTTACCTGCTCAAGGACACTTAGCTAAAAATTAGGATAAGAACTAGAAGTCTGACTCATACACTGATGTCTTTTAGCACATGACGCAGTTACAAAGGTATATACTATTCTTTTCAAAATTAGAAAGCTAGACAGATTATATTATGTACTAATATTAAGTCATCTGAGATTCTGAAAGGAAAGCTAAAAATGTTTTAATTTACATATAAATTCCAGTTTTACATGTTAACAGCTTAAGAAAAGCAGTAATACTACACACCAAATATTCTAAACCACTAGAGTTCTGAAATTATATCCTACCTTTTCTTTAAAAGTTTAATGTTTAGATTGAAGACTTAATTATAATTCTAAATGGCATGGTGTTAAGAAAAAGACAGCCAATACCTGTACTACCTTGACGATCAAACCTTTATCCATCATCATCTTATACCAGTTACCTTTGTGGTGTCTGCTGACTGACAATTGCATTTGCAGTCTCTCTCAGATACACCTCCCAATCCGTCTCAGGGATTTCTTGATCTGCAGTAAAAGGATATCTACAAGAAAAAGAGAACACAATAAATTAAACGGAAGAGTGCTTATATCCCAGAATGTTTCCTGCAGTAACTACCCCTCTTTCACTCACTGTTGTACTCTGCAGGCTTCACACATAAGGAGGGCTTTCCTGAGATTTCTGCAGGACTTTTCTGCAAGTCTATGAGCCAGTTGTGAAGGGAGATTCAGACCTTCCTTCTTGCACACAGTGGATAACACATGGCAAATCTACAAATAAAATAATTAACAAAAACACGCAGTCTGTCAAAAAGCACATTGGGACACTTTCTGTTGATAATATATTTACAGACCATTTTAACTATATTACTCCCCAAATTAACAAGTAAAAATTGTAATAAAGGTACTTTCCTACTGTGTATCCAACACAATGTCACAAATTTTCCCTATTTTCTATAAAATCTCCCAAAATCTATAATAGCAAGGAAGCTATTTATTGTGAGAAATTAGAATTTTTACTGATAGCTGTTAAGGATGATAAAGAAAAAAATATGTATTAATGCTGTTTTGGACTAACTTTGATTCCTTACCTAGGAACTAGGTATTCCCTCATCATCTCCTTACAAAATCTATTTCCTCCATATTCCTGTCTCCTCCTACAGCCAATTAAATCAGCTTGAAGAATACACTGAATAACTATAGCCTTACCTAGTTTAGTAGAATTCATAATATCTACTCGTTTAAGGTAAAAGATGGTTTAAAAGAGAATACTTTCTATATATTGCTATCTGGTATTTACTACCATAAATGTATATATATACTGGTTTGCACATATACTAATGGTTTGCATCCAGGTGACAGCTGTTCTTGAATTACTGATATGCTTCACTATGTTTTTACAAAAACAAACATAACAAGAATGTCCACAAAGTACTCAGAGAAACCTGGCTGAATTTTGTCTGAAAAGTTTAACTTAACTTACGTCTTCAATGCTGGGAGCAGGGACACGAACTGCCAGACACCTACTGCGAATGGGAGGTATCACTTTAGACGTAGAATTGCAGCACAAGATCAATCTGCAGGTGGACATATACTTCTCCATGGTTCTGCGCAAGGCATGCTGAGCATCTTTGGTGAGTTTGTCAACTTCTGTCAATAATACCACTGAGTTGAAGAGAAACAAAACAAGCTTTAACTTGACTCCTTCTCCTCCTTGTCATTATTCAGAGTGAAATCCTAAATAATAAGCCTTCCCTTTGCAAAAACAAATTGAAATTATAAATATGGCAAAAATAATTTACTTGTATTTTTAAAAATTCTATAATCAAGACTAAGAGACACTAGACTAAATAAAGTTAAAGAGGTTATTTTGTTGTGAAATTCATTGCAGCCTTTATTATTTATATGCACTAAAAATTACCAAGACAAGGATGTACTGTGCTGTATTTTCCCAAAATATTTTATTTCAGGAGCACAATTTCTGTAGAATATCTTAAGTCTAAAATCTCAAATCCTAAGGAATATATTTTGGAAAACAATGGTGCAAGAGATGTAGTCAACAAGGCATAAAGACCAACAGTAAGATTCCACCTGGCCACAATCAAGGACTGGTTTTAAAGGGGTTCAGGAATAATATATATACAGAGACTAAATCCAACTATTATATTTTTTCATATTAAATTATTTCTAGAAGATAGCAGTGGCAGAGTGTAGCATTTGAATTTCCCCCATAAAAACAAACAGAACTAAAAATTCCAAGACCAAAAACCCATGGACAACATTTATATATTAAAAAAAAAAAAAAAAAAAAAAAAAACCAACAAAAAAACCAAAATATAAGCAAGTGAGAATAAGCAACTAAAATTAGAAAGACCCGCATACTATCAGCATCTGTGTGGGAGAAGTGGCAGGATCCATCAGGTTTCTGATAGCCTTTAGGACAGGAAAACCCCCAAATCACCCACAGGAACACACTGGAAAGCATCACAGGTCAATTTGAAGACAGCAAATTTTTAACTATGAGGGAGATTCCTCAGAGCCCAATTCACAGGTGAGAGCAAGGGATCGTTGATGCAGGAAAGTTTGACAGAGCAGTAAACTATGAAAATAACACAATGTACCTCCCTTCAAAGATGACACTTCAAAATGAGAAGAAATCTGAGAAACAGAATCCAAACTGAAGAGAACAGAAAAAAAAGAGAAACAAAGGAAAGAATTCCGATAAAAGTGGCAGAGAGGAAGAGAAAATAGAGCTCAGAATACAAGGCCATATATTTTATCACTCTGTGAAAATAATAATTAATATGGGCAGCTCTAGAGCCCTGAACATAGAAAAACTCTCTGGCCTTCCTCTCCTTCCTAAGAATACAGGAAAATTCACTTCACTTTTTAAAAAGTAACCAACAAAAAAGAATCACAGCTGAAATCAATGTTAAAAAAAGCAGAGGAGCAGAACAACATCTCTGAACAAAGAAATGTTAAACTACAGTTTAGCTAATGGTTATTGTTCTTTTTAAGTAACAGTAAACCTAAAGTACGAACATTTAGTGTTTTCAGTGATGTTAATCCAGCACTGAAATATTTTTAGTATTTTTAATGACCCTAAAATATATCATTTTTAAAGGTTTACAACTGTAACTAGGTGTTACTAATTTTGATTAAAATTTTAAATTTTAATCACATTTATTTTAGTAACAGATTTTCAACATTTTTCTTATAATATCAGATTTAAAATAAGGGCACATCATGAAAATCAAGTACAATGTGTTTTGAGAAGTAAAATAAAATAAAATAAAATTTAAATAATAAGGGCACAATATTTTCTAAATATTTACATATATATACACCATTATTTTTGTTTTGTGTAGTAACGTTGAAAATAGTGACTGAGAAGGCATTGGTAGACAGAAATCAACAACTTATTTAAAAAATACACCAGGAGGCCCCACCACCCACCATGCAGGCCATCCAGGTGAGTACAGAGGTCCTGAGCCACACCTGGGAACTAATGCAGCCACAGACATGCCATGCCCACACTGAAGCCCCAGAGGGGTGCTCGCAGGCCCCACCACACACTGTGCAGGCCGCCCAGAAGAACGACCAGTACCCATGCACTGACTGAACAGAAGCCACAGCAGCTCACCACACACTCAGCTGCACTGATACAAGAAGAGTCATCAGAAGAACCCATAAGCAGAGGAGGAAGTCTTCCCTTGCATAACTCACTCCAGAGTGATGGAAGAAATAAGAATTCTACCAGATGATCAAACATCAGCATACAAATACTAGAACTACAAATAAACAAGATATAACACCAAAGGAATTTGGTAATTCTCAAGTACCAAACCCCATAAAGCAAGAAACCCTTGAGATGACTGAAAAGGAATTCCAAGCACTGATTTTAAGAAAACTCCAAGAAATAAGAGAAGGATCAACTAGAGAACACAATGAAACAAGAAAAAATATCCAGGATATAAAAGAGGAAATTTACAAAGAAATTAATAACTTAAGAATGTAACAACACTTCTAGAAACCAAGGATTCTCTCAATGAAATAAAAAAAATACAATGGAAAGCTGAGCAGCAGGCTAGAGCAAGCAGAACAAAAAATTTCAGAACTCAAAGATGGTCTTTTTGAAATAACTTAGGCAGACAAGAAAAAGGAAAAAATTTTTTTAAAAATGAAGAAAATTTAAGGGAGCTAGCAGACAACCTCAAGTACACAAACATCCAAATCATGAGTATTCCAGAAAAGGAGGAAAAAGGAAAAGGTATTGAAAACTTATTCAAAGAATAACAGAAATCTTCCCAGGTATAGGGAGGGTTGCAGACCTTTAGATCCAGGAAGCCCCAAACAGATTCAATCCAAAAGATCTTCTCCAAGACACTTGATACTCAAACTTGCAAAAGTCAAAGACATAGAGAATTCTAAAAGCAGTTAGAGAAAAGCATCGAGTCACCTATAAGGGAGCCCCCATCAGACTAACAACAGACTTCTCAACTAAAACCTTACACATATTCAGAAGACTAAAAGAAAAAAATTTCCAGCCAAGAATCCTATACCCAGCATGATTATCTTTGAGAAATGAGGGAGAAAGTGTATTTTCCTGACAAGTAAAAATTATGGGAGTTCACTAAAACATGACCAGCCCTGCAATAAATACTGAAAGGAGTCCTGCATACAGAATCTGAAAAACAATAACCAATATCACAGATTCACAAGAAACAGCAAAACCAGCCATTAAAACAAAAATGCAAATGAGAGAGAAAGAAGCTAAATCATGTCACCTCAAAAATCCAACTAACATTGAAGATGAAAAATAAAAGAAGAAAGGGACAAATGATGTTTAAAACATCTAAAAAAAGCAATATAATGACAGGAGTAAAGGAATACTTATCAATAACAACCCTAAATGTAAATGGGTTAAACTCTCCATTCAAAAGACAGACTAAATTAAAAAGCTAGACCCAAGTATATGCTGTCTTCAAGAGACCCACCTCATCTATAAAGACAAACAAAGACTAAAAGTGAAGGGATGGCAAAAGATACACCATGCAAACGGAAACCAAAAACAAGCATGGGTAGCTATTCTTATAGCAGATAAAACAGACTTCAAATCAAAACCCATAAAAAGATACAAGGAAGGCCATTATATAATGATAAAAGAATCTATCCAGTTAGAGGACATAACAATAAATATGTATGCACCCGACAGTGGAGCACTTAGACATGTAAAGCAAACACTCTTAGACCTAAAAAAAGAGATAGACCCAAATATGATAACAGTGGGTAACCTGAAACCCCCTCTCAGATCTGTCAGGCAATAAATCAAAGAAACACAGGATTTAAACTACACCTTAGACCAACTGGACCTGGCAGATATCTACAGAACATTTCATTCAACAACTAGAGAATATACATTCTTCTCATCAGCACATGGAACATTTTTCAGGATAGACCGCATACTAAGACACAAATCAAATCTTAGCAAATTTTTAAAACCTGAAATCATCCCAAGTATCTTTTGAGACCACAATGGATTAAAACTGGAAATCAAAAAAAGCAAAATTCTGGAAACTACTCAAGTGCATGGAAACTGAAAAAGACTCCTGAATGACCTAAGGGTCCAAGAAGAAATTAAAGAGGAAATCAAAAAATTTCTAGAAACTAATGAGAATAAAGATACATCATACCAAAACCTGTGAGTTTTGCTGCAAAAAGCAAAAGCAGTACTAAGAGGCAAACTTATTGCAATAAATGCTTACATCAAAAGAATGGAAAGACTTCAAATAAACAACCTAACACTATGCCTCAAAGAACTTGAAAAACAACAATCCAAACTTAAAGGTAGTAGACAGAAAGAAGTAAGATCAGAGCAGAACTAAATGAAATAGAGACCCAAAAAACAATGGAAAAGAAAACGAAAAGTTGGTTTTGAGAAGATAAATAGACAAACCATTAGCTAGATTAACAAAAAAAAGAGAGAAGACCCAAATAACAAAAATCAGAAATGAAAAGGGAGACATTACAACCGATGCCACAGAAATACAAAGAATCATTAGAGACTATTATAAACAACTGTATGACAAATATGAAAATCTGTAAGATATGGATAAGTTTATAGACACAAACTACCAAGACTAAACCAAGAAGAGACAGACAACCTGAACAGACCAATAACAAGGAGACTGAAGCAGTAATTAGCAATCTTCCAAAGAAAAGTCCAGGTATGGATGGTCTTACAGCTGAATTCTATCAAACCTTCAAAGAGGAGTTAATACCAATTCTCCTCCAACTATTCCAAACTGAAACAGAAGCTACTCTCCCAAACTCATTCTATGGGGCCAACATAACTCTGATAACAAAACCAGATAAAGACACAAAGAAAGTTATAGGTCAATATCCTTGATGAACCTAGATGCTAAAATCCTCAATATTAGCAATCAGAATACAGCAACATTAAAAAAAATATACACTATGATCAAGTGGGATTCATCCCAGGGATGCAAGGATGGTTCAACATACAAAAGTCAATAAATGTGATACAGTGCATCAAACTCAAGGACAAAGACCATATGGTTATCTCAATAGATGCTGAAAAAGCATTTGACAAAATTCAACATCCCTTCATGATAAAGACTCTCAACACATTAGGTATAGAAGGAAAATATCTCAACATAAAAGCCATTTATGACAAGCCCACCACCAGTATCATTCTGAATGGGGAATAACCTAGGGCCTTTCCCTTAAGAACAGGAACAAGACAAGAATGCCCACTCTCACCACTTCTATTTAACATAGTACTGGAGGTACTAGCCAGAACAATTAGGCAAGAGAAAGAAATAAAGGGAATCCAGATTGGAAAAGCTGAAGTCAAACTTTCTCTATTTGCAGATGACATGATACTATATATAGAAAAACCTAAAGACTATCAAAACTCCTAGAGCTGGTTAATAACTTCAGTAACGTTGCAGAATGCAAAATAAATACGCCCAAATCAGTAGCATTTATATACTCAAATAATGAATTAACAGAAAGAGAAATAAAGAAGTAAGCCCATTTACAAATGTCACACAAAAAATAAGATACCTACGGATCAATTTAACCAAGGAGGTGAAAGACCTCTACAACGAGAACTACAAATCACTTCTGAAAGAAATTAAAGAAGACACAAAAAGATGGAAAGATACTGCATGCTCTTGGATTGGAAGAATTAACATTCTGGAAATGTCTATACTACCCAAAGTGATCTACAGATTCAATGCACTCCCCATCAAAATACCAATGACACTCTTCACAGAAATGGAAAAAACAATCTTACCTTTCATATGGAACAACAAAAGACCCTGAATAGCCAAAGCAATCCTGAACAAATAAAGCTGGAGGCATAACACTACCTGACTTCAAATTATACTACAAAGCTATTGTAACCAAAACAGCATGGTACTGGTATAAAAGTAGACATTCAGACGAATGTAGTAGACCTGAGAACCCAGAATTCACTCCTCAGGCTTACAGGCATCTGATATTGGACAAAGCCAACAAAAATCTACATTGGGGAAAAGATTGCCTCTTCAACAAGTGATGCTGGGTAAACTCAATATCCATATGCAGAAG